ACTTGTCTTGTTTTAAGCAATCAGTGATAGGAGTCATAATGGTACTGAAGTTTCTAATGAAGCGTCTATAGAAAGAAGCAAGGCCATGAAAACTCCGTACTTCATGAAGAGATTGTGGCTCAGGCCATTCTTGAATGGCTTGGACTTTCTCAAGGTCAACTGCTAAACCCCTTTCAGAAACTATGAAACCTAAGAAAATGACTTGATTTTGAAGAAATGAACACTTAGGCAAGTTAACATAAAACTATTCTTGACGCAAGGTGAGAAAAATTAACTCGAGATGTCCCAAGTGTTCTTCTCTTGACTTGCTAAAAACTAGTATGTCATCAAAGTATACCACCAAAAATTTTCCCAAGTAAGAGCGAAAGAGGTGAGTCATTACTCTCATGAATGTACTTGGTGCATTTGATAACCCAAAAGGCATGACAAACCATTCAAACAATCCATCTTGCGTTTTAAAAGCAGTCTTCCACTCATCTCCAGGCCTAATCCTGATCTGATGATAACCACTTCTGAGGTCAATCTTTGAAAACCAACTAGATCCAGACACTAAATCAAGCATGTCATCAAGTCTAGGAATGGGAAACCTATACTTGATGGTGATCTTGTTGATGGCTCTGCTGTCTACACACATTCTCCAAGAGCCGTCTTTCTTTGGGGTTAAAAGAGCAGGTACTGCATAAGGACTCATACTATGCTGGATATAACCCTTTTCCAACAATCCACTGACTTGTCGGTTAAGCTTTGCTCTATCTTTAGGGTTCATCCTGTAGTGTGGTAGATTGGGGAGTTGTGAACCTGGAATGAAATCAATTGTATGTTGGATCTCTCTCATTGGTGGTAATTCAGATGGAAGCTCATCGAGAGTGATATCCCGAAATTGTTGTAAGAGCTGTTGCACTTCCTCTGGCATTTTTGAAGTAGTAGCAATTCGTTGCGAGATCTTGGATACTAAAATAAACACGATCGTACTCTCTCTGCTTTCTGGTACAAATTGTTTTTCTGTCAGAAGATGCAAATTGTGGGTTTTGGGTTTTGTGCCCTTTGATTTACTTAAGCCTTTGCCTTCGTTGTCAGGCTTAGCAGGATGTAACAGGATCGTCTTGCCTCCATGCTTAAATATATAGGTATTCTCACGACCATGATTGATAACATTGTGGTCATAAAGCCACGGTCAACCAAGTAAAATGTGAGCAACATCTATTGGAAGAACATCACAAATAATCTCTTCTTTATAGTCACCTAAGTGAAGAGGAACGCGACATTGTTGGGTGACTAGTAAAGAAGTTTTGTCGACCCATGCAACACGAAAAGGTTCTGGGTGAGGTTCTGTCTTGAGATTGAGTCGGGCTACTCCTTGACTAGAAATAACGTTTCTAGAACTCCCTCCATCAATCACCAATTTGCAAGCTTTATCTCCACACTTCACAAAAGTATGAAAAATACTTGTTCGCTTCCATGAATCACTAGGCAGAGGGACAGATAGAATGCATCGCATAACTCCAACTCGACGCGTCTCACACCCATGTTCATCAATGATGATGTCCTCATCGACATCTGAAGGACACTCAACTGGATCTACGACAATATCAGCATTTGCATTGTCTTCCTCACCTTCATATTGTGAGTCAATAACTAGAGTACGCTGTGGGCATTTTGACGCAATATGACCCTTTGAGTGACAGCGAAAACACTCGACAAAGGAATTGTTATGGCGGGAAGCAGGAACTATAGCCTCACTAGGTTGCTTAGAAGTATTACCCCTTAACCCAATTGCTTGAGTAGGTGTAAAAGACGAGCTAGGCCTAGATGTAAGTGCTCCTATTGGTCGTTCAGACAAACTGGAAGTTCATGCTTGTCTAAACTGATTGCTCTACAGATCGATACGCTTTGCAGACGAGTACTGTGATAGAGACTCTACTTCCAAAGTCTTATGATAAGCTTCTTCAAGAGACTCTGGAAAGTTTAACTTGAGCTCCTTTTGTATATATGGCTTGAGACCATTAACAAACTTGGTAATGGTGCGCCATTCCTCTTCATCCACGTCACATCTAATCATAAGGTCATCGAATTAAGAAATATACTCGGAAGCTATGGAGATTTGCCTCAAATTAAGGTATTTGTCATACAATTGACTCTTATAATGAGTCGGCACATATTTTTCTTTCAGCTTGGCCTTCATTTCATCCCACGTCTCAATCGGTGGATAACCTTGTCACTCAATATTCCTTTGGACATTTTGCCAGTATTTCCTAGCAGATCCCACGAGCTTCATCTTCATAAACCGAACTCGCTGAATTTCTCTCATGTCATACCATTCAAAATAATCTTCCATGCTGGCTAACCAATCCAGGAATGCACTAGGATTCAATCGTCCATCAAACTCAAGAGCTTCAACTTTAACCCTTTTGGTGATGTCATCAATATGTGTCCTTCTAAGGCCTTCTCTACCATTCCTATGGACTAACTGGTATGGTCTATGATGTTGATCTTCAGGCCCTTGCCCATCCCAAGTATCATCTATGTCATTAGAATCATGATTTGTAAACTCATGAGGAAATGTTCTACTGTGTCTTTCACCCATAGCTCTAGAGGAATGACCAATCCTAAGGGAATTACCTCTAAGTTGATTGCGGACTGGGAATTGTTCATTTTTAAGACTTGACTCTCCTCTAATGATAGGTCTTTCGAGTATCCCTTCAGTTGTTTTCCCTGTATCTTGTCTGTATGTCAACTGAATTGCACTCATTATCTCTTCAAATTTATTGTCCATGAATTCTTTAATTTCTTCTAGCCGCTGGTCCACATATGCCCTTTGAGTCTTTTCAGATTCCTCAAGATGATTTTGGGTGATTTGGGAGTTATTAGCCATGGCAGATTTTAGGGCAGTAATTTCTTGATCTAATAAAGCTTGCTTATCATATAAATCACGAATGGTCATACAATGACAAAGATGGTATGGTAAAGTGCAAATTTGGAGTGGATTTAATAACTTAAGGAAGAAAGGCCCCCAAGTTGCCCTCACCTAAATAGGTGAAGTCCCTTCTTTAACAACACTAACCCTCTGAGAATTCAAAAATTTCACAGGGATCGTATGCTAAATAGGTAACAACTCGAGTGAAGTCTTCACAGAAATCTCCGAAGGTTCAAAAACCTCTTAGAAAAACCGTTAGAAACTTCAACCAACCTAAGGTAATTTTTGGACACAGGTATAGGGTAGGATTGTGTGTGAGGTAGGTGTCTAAAGTTATACGAACACTGCTATCAAAAGTCACAAATTAACAACATAATGATCAATGTAAATTTTTCCTTTTATATATATATATATATATATATTTTCAAAATATTAAAACATGATTAAAAAATAAATAAAAATAAAATAAAAATTGCAATGCTTAAAGAAACCAAAGTAACACACAACAAAGATTTCAGAACTAGCTATGAATGAAACACCTTCCTTTAAGAACCAAATAAGCCAGTTAAATGAGAGGGTTGTCAGCCTTACCAGCGTTGCTTTAGGAGCTCAAAACAAAAAGTTTTACCCCCAACTAAGTTTTAGATGATGACTTGTGCCCTCAGCTCCTTCAAAGTTGAACAAATTCCGTGAAAACACACAGAAAACACTGAAATCACGTTCTGGCGGCGACTGTACGGACGGCGCGTGTGACGGCGCGTGAGGAGTGTGAAGACCACACGCAGAAGCTCCACCGGCGCGTGTAGCTTCGGGCGGAGGTGGTTTTTCTGGTTCTGACCGGATTTTCCCTTCTGAGCACGATGGTAGCGTCCGTTTTTGGATCTGACGTCGGGAAATGTGATTCTGGGTGTTGGCAGCGTGAACAGAGTATGTTGAGCTCCCCTGAGAGTTTTCCTTCGATCTCTGGCCGCGGAAACAGCCTAGGAACATTCAGAACCAGGCTCTGGTACCAAGTTGATGTAAAACACAAACACTCACGCTCACACTGATTTGAACAGAATAGGATAAGGGAGAAGAAACAGAAACAAAAAGTGGGAGGTGGAGGGGAAGTGAAAACAGAGAAGGTGAAAAGAGAGAAAAGTGACTGAAATATGAGAGGAAGAACAGAAGAGAGATGCAGAACTGAAGAGAGAGAGAGAGCTTTCAGAAAATCATAATGCTTCAAACATTCCTCCCCTTCCTCAATACAAGTCATGCTATTTATAAGCATATGAGGTTTCCTTCCTAACAAGGAAACATCCACTTGCTGCCTAGTTTCCTTCACAAGAAAGAAACTTACAAAAGTTAATAAAATAAGAATCCACTTGCTGCCTAGTTTCCTTCACAATAAGGAAACTTACAAAAGTTAAATGAAAAACAACAAAATCAATAAACTAATGAAAGGCAATAAGAAATAACAAATTATTTCCTCCTAAAGTAATATTTGCCATATTTTCTATCAGTAGCATCAAACTGCTTGTGACCAACTTAATCTGCATTGACTAAGATCATAATTAATGAAGAGCAGGTGAGTTTCAAAATATCATACGTCCAACAAAGAAGAGTTAATCAGTGTGTTCATGTGAGGAAGTGTCTTACTGATTACCGAAAAAGAAGAGCCAGCAATGGACAAGATAAGTACGTCAGCTTCGGAAAGCACATGAAAACTAGATATAAAATCATAGTTCCATCATATCTATCATTACATAAAACAAAATTTGGATAACATAGGCGCTTGTTATCGAGTCTACTTAACAAACGTAGCACTTTTTTTTTTTTTTTGGATCAAGTCAATCATAAGATGCAGAGTTATAAAAATTGTGTGACATATTTAATTAAAGAACTCAAATAACAAGCACATAAAAACCTAGACTTACGTTCACAGATGGTCAGCCATAGCCATAACGATCTTCACTTCCATGTGTACATGGCTTGCCAAAACCTGGAATGCTAAAAATTGATTCAAAACCCTTTGTTGTTCTTGACATGCTAACTGAATGTGAAAGCAAAATTAAGCAATAGATTCAATGTAATGGAAAAAGAGGGATATGTAACATTTGACATTTGACATAATAAAAAATATGCCACCATCAATAATTTTTTTTCATCATCATCAGCTTCCATTACAGGTGATTACAAGTCCAGCAGAAAATGAAGCTGCCGGTCCTTTTGCATCAAATCAGATATGAATGACATTATAAATATGACCATACCTCTACTTGTTGAAGTATTTTCTCTTATCATACAATAAATATATATACAACCCAACGCCTGAGACTAAACGTTTGGGGAAATAGTCAAGTCCATTGTGACTCCATCATTATGAGGCAGATTTCTAACCTCGCTAAGAATCCTAGTAATTTCTTTTGTCAGTTCTCTACGTACAAAGTCAGATCGCTCCTTTGTAATTGAAGATTCTGCAAACAAGGTTTCAGCAAGGGACTGATATTCTTGAAACCATTCATCCTCGATACTTTGATTATTATTGTGATCATTATCAAGAAGTAGAGAGGACTCATGTTGTCGCCATCTACTTAAATAATACCTATCAGGGAGCTGAAAGTAATTCTTTATTATGAATACACGAAGAGCATGTCTGCACAATATCCCAGAGGATTCAAATTCTTTGCAAGAGCAATGGATTTGTTCATCTTCAGCCAGCCATATCACAAGACGCTCACCATCCATCCTTTTGAAGTGGCGTACAATATATGATCCATTGGACATTTCAGATGTAGTATATTGCATTGTTAGCAATAACTCTTGTTGCAAGGCATTAAATGAAAAAGGTGTGTATATTCTCCGGGCATGCTCTTCAATAGGTATGCAGCTTTTGAGGTGCATATATGGAGTTTCTTGACGAGCATGATGAAGAAAATTTGCAGAAATGCCAACCTGCAATAAGGTGGAAAGTCATTGCAAGAAAAGCAAGTTAGTACAAGCATGCCAGACAAAGTTCTAAGAGATAAATACCTGCTCAAAAAAGCTCCGTAAACAAGTTTGAGAACTGAAGATGCCTTTCAAAAAACTGTCTAATGACTTTGAGTAAGATGCTGTCCCCATCCGAGCCAGAAAGAAACCTCTAACATAAGACAATGCCCAAGATGCCCGCAAAGTGTAGAGTAGACCAATATGCCTATCTGAACCAAGACCAAAGGAAGATGTCATTTGGTTCCATCGAAGTTCAAATTCCTCTGAATTCTCAATGTGATATAATGCATCAAACTCAGATTTAAATTCTTCATAGCGAGACCCAAGAGGAAGAGAAAACCAGCAGGTTACCTTGGGCATCATACACCATATAGAGATTACATGTTTAGTGCCTGGCAATTCACTTCTTATGGCATCTCTAAGGCCAGGGTCGACATTGGTTAAAATTGTTTGTGGACATCTTCCTCTCATGAGCCGGACAAAACTCTGTATTGAGGTACAATCATCATAAGAGGAGATATATGAAGGCAAAATTCATATCTTAAAGAGGAAGCAAGTAGTAAACCTGTAGTGCCCAAGAGAAGGACCGAGGTGTTTCATCCTGCAACAAAACACAACCAAAGAAAATGGTTCTACCACAGTTGTCAATACCAAACCATGCTCCAAAGAGCATTCCGTATGTGATTGATCGATACGTAGCGTCAAAATAAACCACATCACCAAACATAGAATATGCACGAACAGAGTCACTGTAAGACCAGGCTATATTTTCAACCATTTCATTCCCATCCATTGTAAAATCATAAACAAAATCATTGTCAGTCTCTTTCATTGTTTTGCATGCCTCAAGAAGTTCCAATACATCATTTTCTCTTTTCTCGCTTAGCAATGCCTCGTTTTCCTGAATAACCTTCTTCCGGTTTTGAACAAAATTCCTCACATCCCTTTCCAAGAATGGCAGTTGCCCACCTTGAATCCCTTTTTCCAGCTCAAGCATCTTCACTATTCGATGAATTGGGAACCCAGCTTTAGAAAGTAAGAGTATACGCTCTTGATCAGCCTCTTGTATTTTCCGATATGCTGGAAGAAGCCGCACTTGGTCATCCTCCAAAAGTTCATGATTATGTACATTACTAAACTGCACAACAAACCAGTGAGAAGCTCCATCCACAATCTCCTTTGACAGATACATTTTTGCATCACATCCACACCGTACGGATTTTCTATCTCTATGGTGTTCTCCATTAGACTTCTTCTTCATTGGGGCAAACCCTGAACGGTAACAAACAAAGTCACGTTTATAAATGCCTAATTGCGGGCTAAGTCTGGATCTTTCTTTTCTAATTGAGAACCCATTCTTCCGGGCAAAATTCCCATAATATTCAAACGCATCATCATCACTCTTAAACACCATTCCTACATAGGGTGAAACCATAGTTTCTGATGACGCCTTCTCTGTCTTCACCAATTCCGGTCCAGCCGCAATCTCTTCACCATCACCCTCATATGTCACATAACATTTCCAATCTCCACATGGGCATTGTTGCCGTGGAATCCATAGGTTTTTGGACGGAAAGGACGTCATCATGTAACTTGATTTTGGGTGTTTATATTGCAATTGAAAGTTACGGACTACACTAGCAACAACAAACAAACAGAAATTGTGAATAGATGTCAAGAAATGTTGGAACTTCCAAGTATATTTACTTGAAATTTTATACAAGAGAGATGAGCAGTGAGCAGAAGCTTGAAATGTCTGGTCCACGAAAATCAAAATGTTGAAGTATTAAAACAAGAAGATGAACAGGTGTTTGTGACAAGTAAAAAGCGAGAAACAAGGTTGAAGATATCAGTTCGCAGTCCCAAGAATCGTACCGGAACGACAGAGAGGGAAGAGTGAACTTAAAGCCTTAAACCCTTGGTTCTCAGATTCGTGCTCCACTCTTCAGCTTTTGTTGTGTCTTCTGACTCTTGTTTATTCCCTCTGGTCCCAGTACCTACACAAAGGACTGAAGGAGTGACGGACATAAATCGGCTGAGCTCAAATTATTGTTGGGCTAAATTGCATAGTTTTTCGCTTTTAGTGGTTGAATAATATATTTTAGCCCAACCACCAGACTCCCTAAGGTATTATGCCTACTGAACTAGGGGTCTTAAATTTGAACTCGAGGGTGTATAAGAGTTCAAATTCTATCTTTTGATAGCATACAGAGAAAATAATTTTAAGTAACATTTAAATTGATAGATTTAAATTTAAATTTTAAATTCAAAATCTTGCATTTCAAATTCATATACTTAAATTTTTTTGTTTGAGTAATTTAAAAAAATTTTAAATAAAAAAGAGAGATAAACTAAAATTTGAAAAGGAGATGAAAAAGTAAAAATAATAAGTTTATTTTATAATCTTATTAACAAGAGATAAAAAAAAGATAAAATAGTCGTAGAAGTATCAATGGTGAAAATGTAAAAAATAAAATAAAATTTAATTGGGTGGGTTATTAAATATTTGAGACACTGTAAGTTTTAGATGGTTAAAACTCATGGGTTGAAAATAAATATTTATGGTGAGCTGGTAATAGTTGATTCAATAATTACAAAAAAAAATATTAAGATACGGAGAATTGAAGTGTGATATTTCATTCTCTCATGCTCTATTGGTATAAAATTTAAGAGACCTAGATATTGTTTCACTCTTATGTCAAAATTGATTTCTATCATTACTTTAATTCGTTAATCTTGAAACTAAATTTCAAAGATGATTTGTAATTTAAATTTGGGAAAATCGTGCATAAGGACCAAATGATTGAAATATTTAAGAAAAAGGATTAAGATTTGAAAATAATTGAAGATTTCAAAATCTGCAATTTAGTTCTAAGAGATCTTCAAGAATCTGTATTGATAATTTTGGAAAATCAATTGCAAATCTACAATGCACATTTAAGGATCTTAAAGGCTTGTTCCTCGTTCCCAAATTATTTCCGTCATTTGATCCTTATGCACAATTTTGCCTTTAAATTTTAAATTGGAAACACTTCAAGGGATAAACATAATTAAGAAGCATGTTGCCAACTAAGGATACAAAATTTCATTCAAAATAGTATAATGCAAATATTGCAATGACCAAGTTGTTTCAACATAAACACCAATTAAATCAACCAAAACACACACACACAAATAAACAGCCATTAAAAAGACAACACTAAATTGCTCCCAATAAAAGAAAGAACATGGATCTTGTTCTTAGTAATATATATACTTGCTTCACTCTTTAACAGCAACATATTATTAATGATATCATTGTATCTGTTGTGATGGGTTTGTCTTTTTCTCAGCCAGGAATGGTTTGAACATCATCAGCACTCCAAGTGCTGCTACTAGGTTCAGCACAAAAAATACCATATGAGGACCTGCAGTTGAATGTCCCACAGCTAGTGAGCTTACAGTTTTACAATTCAACAAAAGAAGGGAAACCAGGTTAGCTAAGCTTCATACCTGGTAGGAAAGAAGCATCTAACCGCTTTTCTGACCATGTTAATCTGCATTTGACCAAGATCATAATTAGCGAACAGCAGGTAAGTTTCAAAATATTATACGCATTTTGAAAAAAGAAAAAAGAAAAAAGAAAAAATGGTTAATAAATGTTTTCATGTGAGGAAGTGTTGTTACAGATTACAAGAAAATTCCAGTAATGGAATTTCATTTGAATAGTTTTCATCAGGGAAAATACATAATTCTTAAATTAAGGATCACAGACAAAATAAGTAAATCAGCTTTGAAAATATATGAAAAATAAATGCAGAGACTTATGGAATTAAAATAATCTTTACAGTCTCAGATAATAAATAAAAACCTCTAACCAATCCACACTTCTTGTTTTTATTTTTTCTTTTTTGGCACCATATTTTTTCTTTGATAAATAAAGAAGTGAGGAGTTAGAAAAGTTTTAGACCCAAGGCAACGCACAGAAAACTTAGTAGATGCCATCCAACAATGGATCACAAATCAAAGATTGGAATCAATCCAAAGCAAACCTTTATTGACAATTTTTCACCAAATTTGATAGTGTCATATAAGAAGCAAAACAAATAAATGAAAAGTAATCTTACAATGCACCACCTCCAGCTGGGCCAAATGCTTTGAAGAGTGACATGGCAGTCGTAGCAATACCATTAGCTGCTCCCCTTTGGTGCTGTTCCTGTTTTTCGAAATGAAGCATGCCGTATTTGCCCAACTCAATCATGATAATCTCACAACTTGACAAGAAAAATGAATAATAATAAACAATGAGCTGAAATAAATTTTTTTTTTACCACTGCTCTGTTTTGCAGAAGGAACAAACCAGTAATGATGGTTGCCTGGCAAAAAAAAAAAAAAAAATTACAACCAGGCAAGTTCACAATGTATGTAGGTCATTTTAAAGTACATAGTTTTATGCTTTTGGCATTCTCATATTTTATGAGATTAATTGCACCTTTAGCCCCTCTAGTTCCTCTATTGTTTCTTTTTTGTGATATAGTTGATTATTAATGTTGACCTGCCAAATTAATATCACTAATGGCTTTAATCAATTTTTTTCAATATTGCTTTAATTAACACCAGAACGAAAGTTGCTCCAATGAATGAACTAGAGGGACAACAATACCACATTTCTTTTATTGCATCAAAAGGGCTTATTGCATTATTGATAAACTTAAGAAGGTCTCAAATCATCTGATGTTTTTTCCTTGACCAACTCATAAAACATGGACCCCTCAAAAAGACTTGTGTCCTTGACCAACTTGAATTAGACACAATGTGACACTAGAAGATACATTAAATTGCATATGAACCCTTACAATTTTATCATGTCATTGTATCTGCGTAAATAATGCTCATACCAGAGCTTTCAACAAGGACATTCGACCCATTTCATTTACTTTTACTAAGATTAATAATTTTACAGACTGAGAATACCTACAAAAATTATTCTATGCCAGCATTTCATTTCACCTTAACCACATAATATTATCATTGCGGTTGATAAAGTCAAGGAACAGAAGTACTTACAGAGAGACAGAACATAAGGACAGAAGCAATCGTTATTAATAGGTCCCGTGTGAAGCCGGATAACAATGCTATGAAAGGGTGACTTTGCAAGATAGGAATGGATATAGCCTGCACATGGTGTCCCAAAAACAACAGTACAGTTTAGAAAACAACAGACAATGAAAATGCTTAATCATAGATATTTTTGCAAGAATGAGAAAGCTAACCCCCGAAACGTGAGAAAGTCTGACAGGTCCGCAAACTTTCTCCAAAAATGGATAAATGAAGATTTGGTAGAGCAACAGACTAAAACCTAACCAGTTGAGTAAAAGTCAGTACTAACCAGCATAATCAACAACTGATAGATATATGAATACTTTGCAAGAAAGAACAACAACAGTCGTATCCCACTAATCAGGGTGGGCTATACAAAGATGTGTGAAGCCATTGTGCTCTGTCCAAGACCCACATTTTATGCTTATCTCTGTATGGCTATACAGCCATCTCAACATCCTCATCTTTGCAACTCTCATTTTATGCTCATGACCCCATGTTGCCCCTTTAATCCACAACATTCACTACCATATAGCATTGCTAGCCTTGAAGTGGTTCTATAAAATTTTCCTTTTAGCTTTATCTGACATAATGCATATCTGTTCTGTCTTAAACTAACTGAAATTTTCAAATATCCAGTGCTTGCCTATTTTTCTTGTATGAACATCAAGAATTCTGAAAAAATATATATTCATTTAAGAAGTCCAGTCACATAAAAGCAAAAATTATCTACCAACTTGATTTCAAAAGTTAATGGGGATATAGTAACTGCTTTGAAACTAAAAACAACTCAGCACATAAAACAAGTATTTAAATTCATGTATAAAAAAAAAAAAGGAAATGTCATACTTAGAACTACGCATGCCAATATACATATATTTTAATGTACAGCAATAAAGCAGTTAATAAACCACAGTGCAGACCGCAGAGTATGGTTCCAGATAAATGAACTCGTATGCTCAAAATAAAAAGGATTGAACATAGGCGTAGTTCCTTCAGATGTTTGTTGCTGATCCTCCAATAAAAGCATGAACTTTTAATATCCTTTTGCACCGCACAGTTGATGCTTCTAAAAGTTACTCCACAAGTTATGCACAACAAGAATTTGAAAAATGAAAGCAAACACCATAGAAGCTTTACCGAAGTTTTCTCAGCTAAAAAAATGAAAAAGTTAATGTTGTCTTCCGCATGTCTCTTGAGATCCTTCGTAAGTTTGGCAATTATAATAACTGAAAATTACTCAACAAGATTTGCTTACATAATATGCCTAAGGGGAAGAGTTAGTATATATGACCTCATGTAAATGCAGTTAAATTATGCATAATATTTGGAGGAGGGTTAGGATGGAAACACATTTTTCAACATTTATTATATAAAATTCATACCCATCAAGGATGTACCTGATATCGAAAGAACATTACCAACATTATCTGTTGTATAGTTCAAACCCCCCAGATTTAGAGGGCTGACAGCCCATAATGAGAAAACCTGCAGAAAGTGAAATGGTGCTTACCTCTGTATAAGCAAGAGAGAAAGCATGAAAGTCCAAAAAGCAAACATACTATGTGAAATGCATAAAATCATTTATACTATTATTATGTAAGAAGTATACCTCTGTATAAGCTATATCATGCAGTGAGAAAACACAATAAATAATGATGATTGACATCAACGGCCAATTCAGCAGGAGGTTTTGATCTTTATGAACTGTCTTTCCTGTGAGTTCATTTTCTAAAGCTTCTGCATCCTCATTGGACTCATCGCTAACATTGTGGTTGTGCAATGTTTCCTGCAGATTTTGAAGACAAAAATTTTAAAACCTTAAGACGGCCTTAAAGCAAAAGCAAACAGTTTAAAATACAGGTCATTATACTCCAAATATGGTATATGTTTAAAATATTTGGAGACCTATTAAAAAATAAAGAATGGAAAAGCCCAAAAAAAAAACTATTGATACAATTACT